TCAGCTACTTATAAGAGCCTCTGAAATATCTTTTGATCAGACTGTATTGCACTTCAACAGAATTTCTTTTGAAAAGCAAGTACTTTACTTTGTAATATTTTTTTTCTCATGAAGCATGTCAGATCAGGCCTACATTTAACTTAATTAGATGTTTATGTAAGAGTCAAAAATATGGTGAAAAATTGGATTTGTTTTAGGTATGCACCCTCAGCAAGAGATTACATTTTCTATTTGTACATAAATATAAAAATCTCAGTAAAGGATTTCATACATTACTGTAAATGACACCATTAGATAATACCCAGTAGAGGCAACATCAAGGATCTATATTTACTGTGCTTTAATGTTGCCTCTATTGGTTGTTATCTAATGATGTCATTTATAGTCATGTGTGAAGTCCTTTCCTGATATTTAAATTGTTATGTACAAACCAAAAATTTATTTTATTCAATATTTTTGTGTGTGAATCTCTTACTGAGGGGGTATACTTTAAAAATCCATTTTTTTCATCATATTTATATCGTAATGTGGTATGATATAGGGCCCCTTTACAATTCCCTGTTTTTTTTATTTTAGATGTTAATGTAGACTAGGAAATCCTAATAGAAAATGCTGATTGAGAGAGTGGCACAGTAGTTAGGGTGCACTGACATCATTGAACTGTATTTTATACCATTTTTGTTTTCTTGGTTTTCCACATTTGTGCAAAACAAGCACACTTATCTGACCAGCTGAAAATATTCAAATTTCAAAATACAACTTTTTCACATAATGTGAAATAATGTGTTTCTGGTAAATATATAACATAGTAAAACTGAAAATTCACAGTTTATATTGGATATTTTTTTAAATTGAGTTATACAACAAATATTCATGGACTGCAAACATGGGGATGTGAACAGACTAGATGAGCCTAATGACCCAGATCTGCATGCATGTGCAGGTTCACACAGCCAAGTTTCTCTAATTCTGTCCACGAGAGCTGTCCCTAAGCTGTGTGTTGAGCGCACTCTGACTCTTGGCTCTTTGCAAGATAATTAGTTTTGATGTCAGAAATATCCTCGTCACCTGCAATGTATTTGTCCTCCACTGTGTTAGTAACACCAGCTCTTTCTCACTGTCAGCCAGCCTGGCGGCTTTGTTGACAGTTGTAAAGTTAATTAGAAGTGCTAACGAGCATCAGGGATTGGAAGGACATGGCATTTTACCATCATTAGGCTATTTTCTCTTTTTGTTTATTTGTTTGTCTTCATGTGCTGCCTCAGTGCACACACAACCACAGTGTTTGCATACACATGGTTGCTTACCTTCTTTGCAGTTCTGATTAACCCCATTTTTACTAAGTCACATTTATAAATGGTATTCATTGGAACCTCCTGACACTGACAGCCAATGTTTGAGGAAGATTGGAAGTGTTTAATTCATCTTTCCAGAGAAATCAATGTTTCATGGCTAGCACATACATTCATAAATAGACTAATTTAATCATTTTTAGTGCTGTTACCAATACCAACCAATGCCTCCTCTACACTGCATAAAGGAAAATATCTAGCATCTTTTAGGTAATGCACTCATGCATAAGGCTGCATTATCACTTATTATTATACAGGATTTATATAGCGCCAACAGTTTGCTCAGCGCTTTACAATATAACGGGAGACAATACAGTAACAATACAGTTCAATACAAGAGGGATTTGAGGGCTCTGCTCCTTGGAGCTTGCAATCTAGGAGGGAGGGACTAGTGGTACAAAAGGTAGTAACTGTGGGGGATGGACTGGTTGGATGGAAGAGTAAAAGATTCCAGTATTAGCTGAGGGCAAGATAGGCTTCCCTGAAGAGATAGGTTTTCAGAGATCGCCTAAAAGTGAGCAGAGTAGGCGATAATCTGATAAATTGGGGTAGAGAGTTCCAGAGCATGGGAGAAGCTCTGGAGAAGTCCTGGAGATGAGCATGGGAGGAGGAGACAAGGGAGCTAGAGAGTAGGAGGTCTTGCAAGGAGCGGAGAGTACGGTTTGGGTGATATTTAGAGACAAGATCGGTGATGTAATTTGGGGCAGAGTTTTAAATGGCTTTAGACGTTATTGTTAGTGTTTTCAATTTTATCCGTTGGGCAACGGGAAGCCAGTGGAGGGATTGGAAGAGAGGGATGGCAGATACAGAACGGTTAGTAAGGTGGATGAGTCTGGCAGCAGCATTCATGATAGACTGAAGAGGGGATAGCCTGCGATGAGGTAGGCCTTCTGTGTATACTTAATATACACAGTTTCTATTTAATGGTGCAGAGATCTATTTCTGAATGATATAGATAAATGAAAAAAAAAATAATAATTGTAATCACAGTATGGTGGTCCCAAAATGTTTGTTTGATTTGCTGTTTAATTTGCAACACAAATTTCAGTGGATGCGCATGTTTAAAAGAAAGGTTTGTTCTGAAAAATAATCAGAAGTGCTTTTGAATAGGCTATTTACGTATGTGTATAAATTTGCAATAATTTCCCTGCCTGACGAATTGGCACTAAGCAGTTTAAAAGTGGATACCTTTTTATTAAATACAGTGTTACATTAATCAGGGCTTTAAAACACTATCTGATTTTGTTGTATTGGGTAAATGGCTAAATTAATAGGGATATCATATGTTTGTGAATAAATACACTATCTGCTTGGAGATTCTGTTTTTCCCAGGTTCTTCCTTCCACATTCTGAAATCATTCTGGTAAGTTAAGCAGTTCCACCTAAATTTGTTGTGTGGTGTGTTTAACTGATATGACATTACTTTGTTTTCAAGTGGGAACAATCTCTGCAGAATATGCTGGTGCTATATAAATGAGTACAATAGAAAAAATTGACAAATAGTTTGAAAATACAATAGACAACATATGTTCATTAACAGCTAGAAGGGGGTTTCCATAAAAGATGTCACACAACATTTGGCCAAAATTGACACCACAACATCTCATTAGAAAACATTGTCCCGGGGGGGGGGGGGGGGGTGGTCTGGCCATGCGTGAGTGAAGACACGTGGTTCAGGAGCTCCTGACCACCCGGGGCTTTATTCAGCTTTAACGCACACCGGAGCCACTGCATTGCCCCGCCATCATGCCAGGGAAACAGCAGGCATCCTCTGCATCTGCCCGAGACCGGCTCTGGAGCCCTGGATTCCTATTTCACCGGCATCCTAGGGCCGCGCTTGGAGGAATCCAAGATGACGCTGGCCGCCTCTCCCAACGCTCCATGGCAGGCTCTGTGCTTCACAATATTACCGAGGATTAGGACATCAAAGAGCACATCAGGGCGCTCCCTACTAAAGATGACATGATGCGGCTAATAGCGGCGGTGAAGTTTTCATTTAAAGGGGTCTTAGACACAGTGCAGGCTGAGATTACAACCACAGGTAACCGGCTGGAATCCTTAGAAACAGCTCAGGAAGACCTTTCACAAACTATGGCCCCACTGGGGAATGCTTCCTGCAGACATGGCGCTATGATGGGCTTCCTCTTGTTACAGCTAGATTACTAGGAAAAAGACGGCAGAATATACATATCCACGGCCTACCTGAAGCTACTCGAGCACAAGATTTAATCCCCACTCCTCAAGGCATATTTGGCCTTATTCTGGCGATGCCACATCAACACCGGTGGAGATCGATCGGGCACACAGGGCCCTACTACCACTGCCCCAGGACATTAACAAACCCTGGCATGTTATCTGCAAGTTACATAAGTATGCTGTTAAGAAGGCCATCATGTCTGCTATGTACGGGAGGCAACACATTGAGTTCAATGGTGCACACCTTCTGCTCTTCCCTGACCTCTCCTAACACACTCTTATCATGCGAAGAGCATTAGGCCCTGTGTTGGCGTTTTTTTTTTTGTCAGGAGGGGGCGACCTACCACTGGGGGCTCCCCTTTTGCCTTACCATGAGGAAAAATGGGAAATCTGATACCCTCTGCAATAAAGATGACCTGCCTCAATTCCTGGACACACTAGATCTTCCTCAGGTGGATTTCCAGGATTGCTGTTCCATGGATGCTGTACCCATTCTGCAACGCCAGGAGCGCTGGCAACCAGAGCCTAAGCGCTCCCATCACCGCCAACGCCAGCAGAGGGATGCAGCCTTGGTTCCACCTCATCAGGAGCACTGATGGCTTCAAGAGTTATCTTTTGCATGCCCTTACCTGCTCACCTGAGTACCCACAGTCTGGCTTAATCCCAACTTTTTTGCTTTGTGTGCCTTGAGAACAGATCTGCGAGAGATTTGGTGAGGGGTTTTTACAGCTGATCCACCTGGTGTTTTGCTGTCTAGTGGTACACACCGCTGCCTTCTTCTGCAACGAGGGGACATTTTGCTTTCCTGCATATTTCTCCCAACGTACGGACTCAGCATTGTCAATTTGCTTGATTCTCCTTATGTTGGTCCCTTTGCTCCTGCTCAACTATATCCTATAGACCCTGGGTTGGGCTGCTGTCTTCTACATATGGTCACTTACTTCCCCCACATAAGTTCCTTCCAGGTTTGCTGGCTTCTGCTGTATGAATGACTGAACCGCAATGATATCACTTCTGCATGGGAGTCACGGCTGCGTCACATAGCTCTGAAGGAATGGCACGGGTATGCCGTTCCCTCAGAGCGCATGCGCCGGTGACGTCACCAGCTGCTGAAAGAGTAAATATCTCCTATAAGCCTATATTATTATAGGCTTACCTATATGTAAAAATCAAAGAAGTGGCTTTAATATCATTTTAACAACTTGCCTTCGCGGCACTTATACCCCCTTCCTGCCCAGGCCAATTTTCAGTTTTCAGCGCTGTTGCACTTTGAATGACAATTGCGCGGTCATGCAACACTCTACCCATATTACATTTTTATAATTTTTTGGAGACAGATAGAGCTTTCTTTTGGTGGTATTTAATCACCTCTGGGTTTTTTATTTTCTGCTAAACAAACCAAAAACAACTGAAAATTTTGAAAAAAACAAACGTTTTTTTCTTAGCTTCTGATATAAAATTTTGTAAATAAGTGATTTTTCTCCTTCACTGATGTGCGCTAATGAGGCTGCAGTGATGGGCACTGATAGGAAGCACTGATGGGCACTGATGAGGAGGCACTGTTAGGTGGCACTGATGGGTATTGACAGGCATCACTGATGGGCACTGAAAGGCAGCACTCATATATGGCACTGTTAGGTGGCACTGATGGGCAGCACTGACTGGCACTGATAGGTGGCACTGACTGGCATTGATAGGTGGCACTGAAAGGCAGCTCAGGTGGGCACTGATATGTGGCATTGATGTGGCACTGATGGACACTTGCAGGTGGCATTGATGGGCAATGACAGGTGGCATTGATGGACACTGACAGGTGACACTGCTGGGGCTACACTAATCATCAGGGCATACTGATCATCAGTGCCCTGATGATCAGTGTAGATGTACCCTCTGAGTAATGTCGATTACCATCTCTCCTCTCCTCACGAGCTGTCGGCATGACAGCTCGTGAGGAAATAAATGCCAATAACAGGCATTTCCTTATTTACATGCGATCAGCTGTGATTGGACACAGCTGATCACATGACAAAGCCGATGTCTTCGGCTCTTTCCGATGATCAGTGATACGCTGTGTCCCAGGCCTCGGGAGCGTGCACGCACGGTTAAAGTGGGAGGACGTCATATTATGTCTTCCCAGAACGAGAGAACCGCTTTGCGACCGTCATTTCCGTATGTGGGAGGTGGTTAAATACACTACATAACTAGTGCCACAATTGATATACTGTCTGATATTAAACCAGTAACTGATGAGCTGAAGGATTTGGTACATACAGTATGTTGAGATGACAGTATCTACAGATTTTATAATTACAGGGATAACATCCCAGGTAAAAGAGCCATGTAGGCTGGGATCTTTCAGAAGACAAAAACAGACTAGGTGACAAGAAAGTTCCCAAGGTTTGTGCCCGCTGACTGGAGAAGCATCAGCCTGCTTTCAAAACAGCCTATACATTTTTGTCTGAATATATAATGGGCAAATTATTTTTAATAATGCCGACTACTCTGTCATACTCCTTTGAAAAAGTTGTGCCAAAAGTTACAGGACAACCTTCCATCCTTCTATACTTGGTTCTAGCTTTATCCCTTTTAGCAGTATCTCTAGTTGCACCTCCAAGTAACTCCTCTCTAGCTTTAACCCTGGCTAGTTCCAAGCTTCTTTGTATAACTATAATTGAAAAGCCCCTCTGTGTCAAACAGATACTGATATTGTCACATTCATTTTTAAAGACAATATCAGTGGAGCAGTTCTTCAGGCGTGGGTGAATTCCCTAACCAGGGTTGCATGGATGGTGTGGGATGAGTGACAGCTGGTGGCATATAAAGTTGTGTAAGATTTCCTGTATGTGCAGATATAAATTTCACCTGTACTAAGATTACCCTGCAAAGTGATGACCAGTAAATCTATTTTCAGTGCATGAAAAGAGATAGTAAAATGAAGATTGCATTGATTATCATTACTACAGCCTACAAAGCTGTCAAGAGAAAAAACGTTCCCGTCCCACACCATTAGCAGATAATCTATGTAGTACCCGAACCAACCTTTATTTCTAGCAAAGGGGTTTCCTGGAGAAAACAGGCAAAGCTCCTCCCACCATCCCATGTACAAATTGTCCATGGAAGGTGAGAATCTAGCCCCCATCAACACCCCAAAGCGCTGGACATAATAGCAGTCATCAAACAGAAAATAATTATGTGTAAGAAGAAATTCCACATTCATCAAAATAAATTCCTGAAGTTCCAGAGAGTATGAACTATATCAATGTAAATTATATTTGACAGCTCACAAGCCAGCACTGTGGGGGATCAAAGAGTAAAGTGCTCTCACATCTATGGTGACCCATAAATAGCTAGATGTCCATTTGATGGACCGAACCTGTGATAGCACGACACTGGTATACCTGATATAACCAAGCAAAAGTGAAACTAGGGGTTGGAGATGATGATCCACCCATTCACCCAAACGTTCCAAAAGGGAACTGATACCAGCCACAATCGGGTGAACCTGTATAGTTCCACACGATTTGTGAATTTTGGGCAGGTGGTGAAACAGAAGAACTATTGGATCCTCTAGGTAATCAAAAGTTTTTGGAGATAAAACTCCCATCTCTTTGCCCCTATGCGGAAGACCCAACAAAGCAGACTGAAAACCAGGCATTGGATTAGTGGACAATGGGAGGTATGTGTTGTGATCACCCAATTGCTGCATGGCATCTGATCGATATTGCTCTTTGGATAATTCCACCACTGCACCTCCCATATCTGCCTCCTTAATAATCAGCTGTTTAGATTTCCTCAAATAGTGTAAAGCGTGTGATTCCTGCTTAGCAATATTGGAGACCCAAGAAAAGCAAGTCTGTTGTTTTAACTCAAACAATTCTCATTCTACAGTGGTCTGAAAGGCATCTACTGCAGAGTTTCTAGCTTGTATAGGGTAAAAAAATTGTCTCCTTTTATATAAAAAAACTTTTTTTCCAGTTTCATTACAATGTACAAATGGAAAATATCGTAATATGACAACTTAACCACACTGATTTTCTGCAAGCATTTGAACCAATTTGTGGGCATTTCATATATATATTGTATAACCTAAATGTATGGAATTTATTTTAAATAGTCTCATAAGTATTCTTGATGATACACAGGGAAATTGTTTTTTTTTTACATAAAAAAGGGTTTACTTACCTGTTGAAAAGTGCTTTAACATAATCCTATATTGTTGTATTGGTTTCATTAGTTCTTTTGCAAAACCCTGTTAACCCGTATTCCATTTTAAGGCATCCAGTAAACCAGATAAAACATTCTATTGTATTAACTTGTTTTTTTTTATGTAGAAGTGTTGCAAAGATTCCCATTGTATATTCTAGCTGCAACTTTGGGTAACAGTTTAAATACCAAAGTATACCACAACAGTAAAATCAGTCTGTATATGCAGTAAAGCATGCTTGTTATACTCACTGTGGAACTTAAGGGATTAATTCTCCACATTGTGTAAAAAGGCTGTTTGATCAGATCTTCTCTGATCCTCCCCTTCTTCTCTCCCCAATCCATCTGCTGATAGTACAGAGCTGTAGGAGCCACTGTGCACTTGCTTAGTTTAGTGTGTATTGCTAGAAGTTTTTTTTTTTTTGTTTTGTTTTTTTTTTTTTTGGGAGAGTGCATGTGTCAGCACAGGGCCAATCAGCACTGTCCAGGAAGAGGATCAGGGGATATGCAGCCTCAGAAGCAGTCAGAGCAGAATGAAAACTCCCCCTACAAGCTTTAACCAGTGCTCAGCTGGACATGTATAGATGTCAGAAGACTGCTATATACTGCTGATGTTAAAAAGGTATTTAGCAGTTTATATTTACTAAAATAATTGAGTTTCCATGTTCTGTGTATTGTGGGGGACCAGATAAAGTGTATCCAGCGCAATGGGTTTAGTAACACTTTAAAAAAGTGTGAATTCACAGATCAGTGTTTTGTTCTCTATAACAGTTGGGTCATACTGCAAGTTACTGTATGCTCCCTCCACTCTTTCACTAAGTTCGGTCCATCTAGGTTAAGCAAACCAAACCATGGTATTGGTTTTATCAAGACTTCCATGATGTCTCATGACATCTCTCTTGTTGCACATCTTGAGGTTTCAGCCATTGGGTTGGAGTATGACACGACTTATGGAAAATTTTGATGTCAAGTGATTTAAAAAGCACAAAAGATTCTGTCATATTAAAATTTGGCAGTGTAAAGATAGAGTTAGGATCTGAATAAGATCATTGTAATACATAAATTCTCAACTGTTATATCTAATAACATAATTAGGAAGAAGCTGGAATTCTCTGAATATAATATGGTGGCAGCATTGATTATATTGGAACAAGACAGTTATAAGCCCTTTTTATATAAGAACCATTTGTCTTAAAGTGTATCTAAACCCCCCAAACATTTTAATATATTACACCGTACCAATCCTTAAATGTGGGGGCTGCATTCCTTTGTTCTCTCTTTATTCCTTTATTTTTACCTCATGATCTCGCCACTAAGTGTGTTATTTTTAAACTTACTTTAACAGACTAAGCTGTTCAGCAAGTGGGTTGAGAAAAAACATTTAACACTGGCAGGGGTGCTTACAATGGTTAGCATTTATTCATTTATGCTCTACTGCATTGCTACCCTCAGATGTGCTCCTGCAATTAAACAGACCTCTCTGTGCATACTGAGCCCTGTCCATGACAGTTTGCTTGAACCGCTGAATTTTCCTATGAACCGTTCTAAAATGGCCTATGTAATTTCCCTACTCACCAGGGAAGTTTTGCTCTGGACAGCCCTGCTCTGTTAAATGACAGCCCTGTGACTATCAACATTGCTGCTTTTTTGGAAATGTTCCTGGAGGATTTTTGATGAGCCTGCTCAAGCCTCCCCTGCTGCAAGTGTCTCCCCACACCAAGGTTCACTTACAGTAGGACATTATGTGATTCGGTTTCAAAACACTTGCAGCTGAACTGTGCGCAATAATGGCCATCATGACCGCCTTCTTGCAAGGTTTTTTGACTGACAAACTGGCTGCATAAAAAAATGTTAGTGCTTTTGATGATCTGGTCACCCTGGCCATACAAATAGATATTCGCCTTCAAGCGTGCTCCCAAGATAGGTATTCCTTGGGCAAGGCCTTTTCTCCCCAAGTCCCAAGACTTGGGAACTCCTCTCATCCTTACTTCCAATAATTCCTGTGCAGCTGCATCTCAACAAGTCCACTGCCTCCTTGGAAGCCTACCTAGATTCAGGAGCAGCTGGCAACTTTATTTCTGCATCCCTTGTAAAAACAATTTTCAAAATCTTTCCTGTAGACTCATCTGCTCTTATACCACTACAACTACAGTACAGTGATGGACTGGTCCTTCTCTCAGTTACTGGCCTGGGAGCCCTCCTGTCATCCTAGGTGCCTCACCAAGGTCATGCCAACCCAGTCTTTTGGCTATCTCTGTGACAACCACTTCAGTTTTAGTTTTCCATATGGATAACCAAGATGTCTTTTCCAAGTGCAAAGCTGACAAGTGCAAAATTGTATTGCCCCTGTTATTGTACAAAGCCTAATTACAAGTTCTATCCCCTGAGGTTAGGTATATCCTATATTTCCTCCCTGTGACCAAGTCCATGCCAGATTACATATCAGGAAAGCTCCAAAAACGCTTTATCCTCTAACATCTACCCTATATTAAGGAGCGCCTCAACCACCTCTGTGGAGCCTTTACTATATTAGATCTATGAGGTGCACACAACTTAATTTCATCAAATAAGGAGATGAATGGAAGACTCCTCTAGAGTTGATGAATTCTTACACTCTTTTGACTAACAAGACTTCGAAGCTCCTGTGTCATAATTCATTA